CATATTCCAACAAAACAAAGTAATCTCAGTCTGCATTTTAATAAACATATCATTATGTTGTGGTCAAAGCGGTGGAAGTGCCAGCGACCTGCAGCCATGATTAGTTTCTGTAAGAGAAAATGTCTGGAAAAGGTTCAGCTTTGGTTAGTGAGTGTTAAGAGCATCATCATCATCATCATCATGTAAACAGACTGCAAATACACACATGGGCTCTGTCTCCAATGAGAAACATCAGTTCTTAGACCATGTTAGACACACATTCACACTCCAGAAGCGTTCAGTGTTTGCAGTGAGCGGCTGTTAGCTGGATCTGTGTGCCTGACGCTCAAGCTAAAGAGATCTGTGACATACCCTACTGTAGTCAGCAGTATTTTAAGGCTTCATATACTGTTCTAGGTTGTTAGCAAGAACACTTTAACATCATTATGTTTCAATAATCTTCCGTCAAAGAAGCTTCATAGAATGTGTTGCTTACTTTGATGTTGACTAACATACTAAAACTTCATTTATTTTTTAATATCTTATTTGTTTATAATAAATATATTTATATATTAAATATTTATATTTGAAATAATCTATTTATTATAATAAAATAAATGTTTTTATAATATTAAAGTTGATTTAATCATTTTTATAATATTAAAGTTATAATATAATATTTTTTTAATTTATCTTGTCAGTACATTCAGCAGTTCACTTTAAACATTTTTATTTTCATCTGATTTTTATTTTTAAATCAGATTTTTATAATAGAATACATATTTATTTTATAATATTACAGTTGATTTTTTATCACGTTTATAATTAGTTAATTTTTATAATATTAAAGTTATAATATAATCATTTTTATATGAATCTTTAACCATATTTTAAAGACAATAGAAGTAATTATGAAATTACATATAAAGATGTACTCAAGTCCTACTTAAGTATTGCATTAAATATAAATTTAAACTATAATATATTTTCATTCGATTGTTAATAACACGCAATTAAATGTCCAAAAAATTACATTCAGATCACACTTAAGTATATTATTTCCATAATAAGCACTCTTTTTAAACGTATGATTAAGTGTTCTTCTTTCACAGGAGCCAGAATTCATTTCTACAAGCTCAGGGAAAAATATGACTGTCAAAACAAACAATGTTGTTTATAAATATTCCTACAAATACAATAACACTGAAACATTGATAAAATAGCCGAATCTAACAATAAAATACATAGTTAGATTGAAATCATGCTTATTTGAGTATCACATTGTCAGCTTAGCAACATGTTAACATCAAAATCTATAAGTCAGTTGTGAATTAATTGTCCTGTATGCTTCATTTGAATAACACTGTTTGTCAATGCTTTTCAGAATGTAGTGAAGTATATACTTTTGTCGACACTGAACTCTGTAAGCCATATTGGATGGATGTTTTCACTGAGCTCATCACAGTGCATTCTGGCTCTTAGCATCTCTGTGTCAGTGAACTGTGTGGGATTGTTAGTGTTAATCTGTGAAGAGGCCTGCAAGAACTCGTTTAGTGGTGAGAACGGCAAAAGCAGAGAAAGGGAGTGAGACAGAATCTAAAGAGACACAGATATAGTTGTACTCTTGGGATGCTGAGAGCTGCTTCAAGAGGAAACCAGGGGGTCCTGATGCATGGCAACGGTTACCGCGGTAACCATGCCTGGCAGATCAGCATCATTCTGGTGTGAGGTCGTCAAGGAAACCTTCATAAAGGAGAGAGTGAGTTCAAATCCTGACCAATCAGAGCTCAGCGGAGAAGACAAACTGTGGGAAGTCATAGTTTACATGAGTACAATAAAATCTGTTCATAATGCTTTTGAACGTTCATTCCACAGTCCAATTTAGAAACCTGAAAATTGTAATTTAAGGAAAATGAGGACTAGCCAAATGATAATAAATTCTTATGCTGATAATATAATTTGTATTAAAGGTTTGCATCTTGTATTATCAGACTATCGGACCTCAATGTAGGTCAAAGCCAGATGTATTTTTTGTAGTTGTGCTAAAATGAGTTGCTATAAGTGACAACACATTAATGCAGAAATCCTGCATTACACAAACTGGCCTGTAGGTGTCAGTGTTTCTTTAATTTGCATGATCAATGCCAGTGTCCTCATTAACTAAAATTAAAACCATTTAACCATTTTGGTAATCGAAATAAAGCTGAAATAAAAAAATATATATTTCTTTGCTCAAAACCTTAAAACTTAAAAACTCTGAAAACGAGAAATGCTGCACTGGCAACTAAAATAAAAGTAAGTAATGCGTTTAAGTACTAAGATGACTAAAATTGAAAAGAAAAATTACTTTCAATTTAATATTTTATTTCTTTTTTAAATAAATAAAAACGAATAAAGCGCATAACAAAATGACTAAAACTTAAACTAAAATGAAAATATAAAAATAAATAAAATAAATTCAAAATTGTATTTCCAACACACTAAAGAGAAAATGTTCATATTTCTTAACCCCAGTTTGGGTTGTAATAGATTATAAGGTTTATACCTACAAAAATAAATGATAACATGCACACGGATCAGGGTTATTATAGTTAATTAAAACTAAAACCATTTAAAAAAATGTTACTTGAAATAAAATAAACATTAACTTAAATGTAAAAATATTTTTAAAAATCTTGGACTTATTTTTTTTCATCTTGCTGTCAAGGCAACATTTTCCATTTTCGTTTAGTTTAACTTGTACTAAAATGTACTAAATGATGTACTAAAATAACTACGACTAAATAAACTAAAATTAATCAAATCTATAGAAATATAAAAACAATTATAATTAAAATGACAAAAACAAAACAAAATTACTAAAACTTTAACTAAATTTAAAATGAAAACAGAAAATCTAAAAATAAAATCTAATTCAAAATATTAACAAAAACATAGCATATCAACAATACTAAAATAACAGACAGAGAAAATAAAAATCCAATTCATGCTAGAAACGTTTGATCTACTGTAGTAAAAAGAAATATTTGCTTGAAATATGCTTGAAAAAATAAACATTTCCCCCTAGATGGTGTAGTTATGACATCTACCAGCAGAGGCAACCTGCAGTCAGACCTGAAAACAGCCTGTAAATGAAGAAATGACCATGCATTCCCATACAAAACAATTACTGCACCAAAAACAGAAGAGGGAAAACCTACAGACATGCATTTACCTGGTGATCCTGCGGGCTTCCATGAAGCTGGGCGAGTCTCTCCTCCTCTTGCGGATGGGAGAATAGCTGCGCGAGCGGCGGCGAGCTCGTTCTGCATCCGAGTGATGAGGACTGTCTTTCTCCCTGCAGACAGACAGAAAGCATGCTGGGATTGAGAAGATTTGGCCTCGACACGTGTGTGTCTGTGTCATGCTGTCCTTCAGATGACTGGATTTATTTGACGGAGACTGCAGAAAGATCGCTTCAGGCGCATCTGACGTTCATTTAATTTACGGAATGTTTAGGGATTGTTTTGTTGTTATTTTAAGCATAAAATGTATTGAAGGTTTATGAGTGTGTCACTTGATTTCGTCTTGTTTTCCAATACAAATATCTAAAAATTCTTAAATCAAGATACATTTACTTTACAAGCAAAACGATTTAAGATATTAAGTCTTGTTTTCTGACAAATCTATCAAAATTAAGTGAGTGTATGCGTAAAACAAAAATATCTGCTATTGGGGTCAGAAAAAGGAACTTAATTCAAAGGGAAAACTATAATGAGATTATTTTTATTATCTCATTGGCACATATTTATTTCTTATTTTAGACAAAATCGCACTTAATTTTCAAAATTTTTGTTTTCTAAAAAAATCTATCAAAATTCAATTCATTTATGTGTAAAACAAGAATAAATATCCACCAATGAGATCAGAAATATAAACTTAATTCAAAGGGAAAACATTACTATTTTTATTATCTCATTGGCACATATTTTTTATTATTTTAGACAAAAACTCACTTCATTTTCAACATTTTTGTTTTCTAAAAAAATCGATCAAAATTCAATTAATTTATGTGCAAAACAAGACAAAATATCCACCAATGAGATCAGAAATATAAACTTAATTCAAAGGGAAAACAATACTATTTTTCTGATCTCATTGGCACATATTTTTTCTTATTTTAGACAAAAACTCACTTAATTTTTTACATTTTTGTTTTTCAAAAAATCTATCAGAATTAAATCAATTTGTGTGTAAAACAATATCTGCCAACGAGGTCAGAAAAAAAATCTTGTTTTCCATTTGAATTAAGTTTCTGACCACACTGGCACATATTTCTTCTTATAAGCAAAAATTATTATTTTTAATTTTGTTCATTTTTTTCAACTCAAATTAAGTGAGTTTATGTGTAAAACAAGAAAAAAAATCTGCCAATGAGCTAAAATAAACTTAAATCAAAGGCAACACAGGATTATTTTTTTTACCTCATTGGAACATTTTTTTTTCTTCTTGTTTTACATAAAATATCACTTAATTTGGATAATATTTGTGTTCTGAAAAATCAAAGTGAAGTGAGTTTATCTGCCAATAAGGTCAGAAAAATACATTTAATTCAAAGGGAAAACATTACTATTTTTATTATCTCATTGGGACATATTTTTTCTTATTTTAGACAAAAACTCACTTAATAAAATATCACTTAATTTGGATAATATATGTGTGCTGAAAAATCAAAGTGAAGTGAGTTTATCTGCCAATAAGGTCAGAAAAATAAATTTAATTAAAAGGGAAAACATTACTACTTTTATTATCTCATTGGCACATATTTTTTTCTTATTTTAGACAAAAACTCACTTGATTTTTAATATTTTTGTTTTTCAAAAAATCTATCAAAATTAAATACATTTATGTGTAAAAACAAAACATATCCACCAATGAGATCAGACATATAAACTTTATTCAAAGGGAAAACAAGATTATTTTTCTGACCTCATTGGGACATATTTTTTCTTACTTTAGACAAAAACTCACTTAATAAAATATCACTTAATTTGGATAAATTTTGAGTTTATCTGCCAATGAGGTCAGAAAAATACATTTAATTCAAAAGGGAAAACTTTTTCTGACCTCTTTCTTGTTTTAAGCAAAAACTCACTTGATTTTTTTATATCTTGTCATTTTGCTTGTAAAGCAAATCTGTCTTGACTGAAGAATGTTGGCAAAACAAGGCAAAAATACAGAGTGAGTGCATGCTGGTTGTGACATCACACTTATCCCATGAATATTAAAGAGTTTCCCTTATGCATGTCCATTTTTCTAAAAAAGTAAAACCTTTGTCCTGTATGATGTGTGTGTGTGTGTGTGTGTGTGTGTGCGTGTGTGTGTGTGCGTATTTATTTAATCAAAAATACAGTAAAAATTGTAAAATATTTTTACAAGTTACAATAACTGTTTTCTATTTGAATATATGTTAAAGTGTAATGTATTCCTGTGATAAAAGCTGGATTTTCAGCATCATTACTCCAGTCTTCAGTGTCACAGCTCGTGGCGACGATCTCCCGCTGCTCCAGGAGCTGCTGCGCTGCCGGGCCGTCCCGTGACTCTTGCCCTTCTTCTTCTTGGATGTGTGTTTGTGCCGACCCGGCGACACAGAGGCGCTCCGGTGACGATTCTGTCCGCGATGGTGCCTCTTAGACGAATGAGACCCTTTCCTTCTATGTGAGAATACAGTGATAGATTCGAGAAATATAGTTGCTTTTCATCACTCAAGAGGCTTAAAAGAGATCTCAGTTTTTGGTTTATTTAGGGATGTACTGTAGATGTTTCTCCTAAACTTACCCAAATTGACCATACAGCAAGTGTAAAGAGCTATAAAATTAATGTTGAGCAGTTCAGATCATTTGACGAAAAATGTTTGAGTTGTTGTTGAGACTTTTGATTGCAGACTTTGTTTATTAAATATTTTGGCAAATCTTTGCACAGCTGCATTCAAGCTAAAGCTGAATGTGACCCTGTTTTTTTAAATAACAACAGCAAAAATCACATTTAATCAGACATTTTCCATTATGATCTGGGCCACTTTCTGATATGGAAATAAATGGGACGTGTTTCTGATTTCTGTGACTTCAGTGTGAACAGAATATTACTTACTCAATAGTTGTCATAACTGCATGCTTAATGTACCATTGACATCATAAAAGAATAAATAATTGTATTATATGCAATATTACATAGAAATGTGCAAAAACATTTGTTCAAATACATATTTGTGAAATATACACTACTGGTCAACAGATTGGAATAATAATTACAATGCTCACTTATTGTTGGTGTTCAGTTATTAATAATGGTTCTTATTATTATCAATTTTGAATACACGAAGTACTTAATATTTTTGTACTGACACAGTTTTTAGGATTCTTTGATGATAGAAAGTAAAAAAAATAACAGCATTTATTTGAAATTGAAATATAAACTTTACTGTCATTTTTGATCAATTTAATCCATCCTTTTGAATAAAAGTATTAATTTCTTTAAAAAAAAAAATACTCCCCCTAAACTTTAGAATGATGGTCTACAGTATATCAGTTTCTCAATCTCAAATCAGCATATTAGAATGATTTCTGAAGATCATGTGACACTGAAGACTGGAGTAATGATGCTGAAAATTCAGCTTTGATCACAGAAATAAATTACATTTTACAATATATTCACATAGAAACCAGCTATTTTAAATTGTAATAATATTTCAATTTTTTTCTGTATTTTAGATCAAATAAAGCCACAGACTTCTTTCAAAAACATAAAAAACCAACTTATTCTTATATACGTAACTTCTGACCGGTAGTGCAAACATCTGTATAAACATGTTAAATGTTCTTACTTCTTCTGATTCTTGGTTTTGGTGTGTGGCTCAGTGTCGCTGCTGTGTGCCGGTGAGTGCGACGCCTTCTCTCGAACCCTTGGCCTCCCGCCGCGTCTCCTCAATGACTCTGAGAGCGGTTTGCCCATCGCTGGCCTGTCGTCTGTGCAGCCGTCCTCTCCCGTCTGCGCCGCTGGTCCTCCAGGGCTCTTGGGACGGTCGGCGTGGTGTTTAGCACCTCTTAGATGAGGCGACGCGTGCGTCTGCGTGCTCGAGGGAGACGGAGCCAGAGATTGAAGCTTCTGTAGATGAATTATAACCAACAAACCAAAGGAAAAAAATAAATAAATGTGAAAAGAAAACAAACAGAAAGAGAACAGTGAAATTAGAGACTTTTTCCTCCTGGGTGGAAGAGCGTTATCGTGTACTTGGCAAAAAAATATCTAAAAGAAAGTGCTAGGATTGTTCTCTGGCTTATAGACAGTCCTCTATTGTGCAGCGCATGCACTACTCGGCATGCAAAACCATAATGATTTGAAAAGAATAGTCCCGAAAGAAAATCGAAACAAAAAAGGGAGAGAGGGAAAATATGCGAAACTCTGAAAGAAAAAAAAGTTTAGAGAGAATATAAAGAGCGACAGAGACTGGAGAATATACAGTAGAAGAGAAAGAGGACTTTGTCAATTTCAGAAAGAGCTACAAACAAAAAGGTGGAAAATAAAACTAGAAAATAAAAAAAAGACAACTTGACGGAACATCACAGAAATGGAAGGAACGAAATAAAGATTCACAAGAATAGATTCAATCGAATTAGAAAACAATTGGTCCTCTACTCAATAGAACTTGCTTGTAGATTTGTTTTGTCCTGCAGACAATTGCTGAGATGTGAACAGCGACCCATTTCCTGTTTTAATAGCTTTTTTTAAAAGGTTATTCTGTTTTTCAACTCCCTTTTGGTTAACATCCACTTACCAATAAAGTGGTATTCCCTCCTTTAGTAGGTAAGGTATGAAGAGAAGGGAAAAGTGGGGCAACATAAGTGCATCATTAGATTCACAAAATGCAAGAGAAAAAGACACAACACCCTTCCCTGGATAGTGAGTATGAAACAATGCATGAAAATCAAACCAAAGAGAGAACAAGACACAAAACAAATCAAATTCAAACGGTTCTCACAGTGTGTGGGCTGGACCGCGAACAGTCTGAGTGCATTTTAACAGCAACTCAGTGTGGTCTTCAAGCTTTAACGGTGACTGTAATGTGTTACGAATGGATGCTCTGGTTTCACCAGTGTCTGAGTAAAAACCTTTAACTGAACGTGTATTATGGGTTATCCATCAGTTGAATTAAAGAACCCATGAAATGGCTCAACAAGCTGTTGTTTTCTGTGTCATGCATTTCTTGTTGAAACAGAAAGTTGCGGTAGCACATACAGTACTGAGGATACTTTAACAGTCATAATGCACCCCATAACCAAAAGAAAGGAATAATAAATCATATTTTGCATAAAGTCAATGAGGCCTGTTTTTTTGGACAATAAAATTGTTTTTATTTGGGAATATAAGTGCATTTTATGCCAAAATGTTCTTTTCTTTAATGCAAAAATAAAAATCATATTTTGCATAAAAATGTTTTTAATTGAGAAAATAAGCATACTGTATCTCAAACCTCCTTTACTGTAATGCAAAACCGATAGATAAATATATATTTTTTAAATAAAATATATATGCATAATGGTAGTAATAAAATATTTTAATTTTTAGTAATAATAATATAAGGGATGAATGAATGGATGGAATATAAAATTGTCAAAAACTGTTGAAAATACATTGCATATATAAAATATTTTTTATATATGCAATATGCAATACATATGCTTTTTCGGTTACACTACTTGAAGGGGTGTGCATAAGACTGACATGACACCTTCATAATCATGACATGACACCT